GCGAGAGCGCATCTGCGAGGGGTTGATTGCAGATGCATGTTTTGTCAGGCTTCGATTGCAGATGCGAAGGAGGAAGTTGCACCTCATCTCCACGTCTGCAGATCTTTGGATTGCATAAGCTATATTGGACCTAGGTTGGAGGAGCGCAGATGCACAACATTGATTCCAGAAGCGAGTAGAGCACCTGCGACTTAATGAGCCATGTGTGAGGATGCCTGACAGGAGGTATATTTCAAGAGTTTGGCTTATTTTTCATTTTTTTGAGTTTTGAAGCTCGGCTAGAAGCAATTTTTGGGGAGATTGTCATCACTACTTTTTGGGTAAGTAATTTTCACTTGGATTTTGACTATTTATTTTGAACTCCCATGGATTTATGCACTTTAATCATGATATTTTGGAAGAGAAATTAAGGTTTTTCCCTACAACTTAAGAGTTGAATTTTTGCAATTTGAAGGTCAATTTGGACTTGATTTGAAATCTAATCACATAGTTGGACTCATCGGATTATGGCTGGTCGGGATCTACCGCTTGACTCGAGTTTTATCCATATGGGCTGGGTTGACTTTCATTGACTTTTTAGGAATTAAATAAAGATTTATAGCTTTATGCTTGGAATTGATTCTTATGGCTTTGCACGATGTGATTTAGTTATTTTTTGCTAGATTCGAGCCGGTTGGAGGTGATTTCTAAGGGGTAGGCATTCTTGGAGTATTGATTTAGCTCGTTTGAGGTAACTATCTTGCCTAATCTTGTGTGAGGGAATACCACATAGGATGTTACTTTATTTGGATAATTTAAATGTGTGAAAAGCGACATATACGTGAGGTGATGAGCGTATATGAGGGTGCTATGTATGATTTTGACCTGATAGGATTTTAGGCTTCTAGTATGCGTTGTTTGGAGTGTGTACTTCCTATGGTACCTGTTTGGTCATTTGTATGGTTATGTGAACTAAGTCATGTTAGAGACCATGTATAAGCTTTGATATCATTTTTGAGCATGAATATTGTTGTATGGCGTACCCGCCTAATCTCAGTTGTCATTGTATACTTCGCGCATACATACACCTTAGCATGTTATCGTTACTCATTCCTTGAGTATGTAACTTGATATCTGTTGTTCGTATACGTGTATTCTTGTATATGTTTAAAAGAACATGAGTTTTCCATGCGGATGTTGTAATTATTGTACGTGAGTTGTCCGTACAACGTGTGGATAAGGATCCATCCTCCTAGGGTCATCCTCTCATGTTTCTCCTTGATGACATAAACACAGATTGTAGAAACTGACCATTGTTTGGGCTTTGTGTATCTTCTCCATATGCAAACTCCTTGGATATATACATGAGTTACTGCATATCTTCTCTATATGCTAGCTTTGGAGTGTATACATGCATTTTATGCATATCTTCTCAATATGCTGATTTCGTTGATGTGATAACTCACGATACATATCTTCTTCATATGTCAAATCTGTGTAACTTGACTTGCTATTCTTACTTATCTCCTTAATATGCTGAACTATTAGCTTGATTACCATGCGTAGATTCTGGTATTGTTGCTGTGTACATATACATTCATGAACTGTACAGGTTTGATTAGTGAGTATCACTGACCATTCTGCCACTACCTTACCAAGGTTAGTCATGATACTTACTGAGTACATGAGATCAATTGTACTCATACTAGACTCTATACTTCATTGTGCATATCTAGGTATGAGACCCAGCTGATCGTTGAGTGTGGTCGCAGGTGCTATTGCGACACGAGGTAGAGCTGCATTCCGATCGCAATCCCTGGTGTCTCATTCTATCTGTTATTACTATTGTTACTTCAGACAGTATATTGTATTAGCAGACTTGTATTGATGTATTAGACTTATGTCTCAGTACTACCAGTTCTGGGTAATTGTTGTATTGGTTATTATTTATCTACGCTATTCGAATTTTAGACTCCTTTATTTCTCTGTTATTATTGTTCTTCCGCTATTATTTTATGATTGGCTCACCTAGCAAGTGGTTTAGGCGCGTTCACGACAAGTGGGAGTTATTTTTTCCTGATGACTTATCTATATCATTTTATTTTTTTCAGTTTTTTATTCATTTATTTAAGATGTAATCATTCTTTTTGCCTTTGTTTATTCAGTTTGGTGTGCAAATAATTGTAGTTTATCATTCTTTCTTTTCTTTTCTTCTTAGGGTGTCGCAATAGTTTATTTTTCATACTGTCAAGTGTAAATTTTCATTTTGAATGCGAGAGTTTGATCATTTAAATAACATCTATATTATCACTCGAATTATATGTACTTTCACTTACATTACAACAACAACAAACCCAGTATATTCGCACAAGTGAGATCTGGGGAGGGTCGTGTGTACGTAGAACTTACCCCTACCTCGTGAAGGTAGAGAAATTATTTCCAATAGACCCTCGGCTACGAAAGAGTGAGAAGAAGAAGAAGAAGAAGTACTACTAAGTAGGCTGGGGGGGGGGGGAGAATAAGTAGTACTAAATAATAACAACATGGAATACGTTAACTGAAGGGAACTAAACTACATGACGAAATATAGATCTAAGAGTAAGAAGGAACATGAGTGCTTACTAAAACTACTGGTAAGAAAAGGAGAAACTTTCAACTACCTACTAACTTTCTACGCTAATTCTCGACCTCCACACCCTCCTATCAAGGGTCATGTCCTCAGTAAGCTGAAGTTGTGCCATATCATGCCTAATTACCTCTCTCCAGTACGTCTTTAGCCTACCTCGACCCCTTCTCAAACCAGCCATGGCCAACATCTCACACCTCATAACAGAAGCGTCAATGCTTCTCCTCTTTACGTACTCGAACTATCTCAACCTTGACTTCCACATATTGTCCTCCACGGAGGCCACTCTCACTTTGTCCTGAATAGCTTCATTCCTAATATTGTCTCTCCTGGTACACCCACTCATCATCTCAACATCCTCATTTCTTTTATTTTCATTTTTCGCACATGAGATTTCTTGATTGGCCAACACTCCGCCCTATATAGCATTGTTGGTCGAACAATCACTTTGTAAAATTTACCCTTAAGTCTTGGCGGCACATTCTTATCACATAAAACACTGGATGAGAGCCTCTATTTTGTCCATGTCGCTCCAATACAATGTGTGACATCCTCGTCAATCTCGTTGTTACTTTGGATAATAGACACGAGATACTTGAAACTATCTCTCTTGGGGATAACTTGAGTATCAAGCTTCACATCCACGTCTATTTCATGTGTCCCGTCACTGAATTTGCACTCTAAGTATTTTGTTTTTGTCCGGCTCAACTTAAAACCTTGAGACTCCAAGGTCTGTCTGCAAACCTCCAACCTCAGGTTAATCCCACATCTCGTCTTGTCGATCAACACTATATCATCAGAAAATAGCATGCACTATGGCTCCTTCCCTTGGATGTCTCGCGTCAACATGTCCGTCACCAAGGCAAATAAAAATGGGCTAAGAGTCAATCCTTGGTGTAGCCCCATCATAACTATGAAGTGCTCATAGTACCCTCCTACAGTCCTCACCCGAGTCTTAGCACAATCATACATATCCTTAGTCACCATAGTGTACGCTACCGGAATGCCGCTAACCTCTAAAAAACTCCATAGAACCTCTCTCCAAACTTTATCGTACGCTTTTTCAAGGTCGATGGACACCATATGCAAGTCCGTTTTCCTTTCCTTATATTGCTCACTAATCTCCTGAGTAGATTAATAGCTTACGTAGTCGAACGCACCAGCATGAATTCGAACTGCTTCTCAGAGATAGACACGCTCCTCCTCAATCTGACTTCCACCACCCTTTGCCAAATCTTCATATGGCTCAATAGTTTTATACCCCTATAATTGCTGCAATTTTTGATATCATCCTTGTTCTTGCAAATAGGAACTATCGTAGTCCACCTCCATTCTCGGGCATCTTTTTTGTCTTAAAAATGACATTAAACAACCCAGTGAGCCACTTTAAGCCTATTCGGCCCACGATTTTCCAAAATTCCACTAGGATTTCATCTAGGCCCATCGCTCTGCCCCTACTCATCTTACGCATCGCCCCTTCCACCTCCTCTACCTTAATATGCCTACAATAATCCCGCCGACTCTCCGAGTGCTCCAACTCACTCAACACAATGCTTCTATCCCCCTCCTCATCAACATTTTATGGAAGTATGTCTACCATTTTCGTTTAAAATGTTCCTTATCCGTAAATACTTTGTCGTCCTCGTCTTTGATGCACTTTACTTGGTCCAAGTCATAGCCCTTCCTCTCCCTCACCTTGGCCAACCAGTATAACTTCTTGTCCGCCTTTGGCCCTGAGTTCCTTGTATAGACGTCCAAATGCTGTAGTGTTAGCCGCTGTAACAACTAACTTTGCCTCTTTCTTTGCCTTCTTATAACACTCCCAAAATGTCCTTTTTTCCTCCTCGTCTGTACTCTTCACCAACTTCGAATAAGCCGCTTTCTTGGCTTTCATTTTACCTTAGACCTCTCCATTCCACCACCAGTCCCCTTTGTGACTCCCACCTATACTGCCTGGTGTTGATTCGGCAATTTGCGTCTAGTGGGGAGCTTTGTCATCTCAAAGAATAAGCGGATCTTAATCTTAAAGTCGTGGATCGGAGCGAGACCAAGCCGAGCCACTAGTAGAGTAAGCCCTTCCCACGTGTCAAGTTGAATATGAATAAATGAATGCAGCCTCAACCAGAGAGATCAACCTGCGCCTTTGAGTTGAGGCCGCTGGCGGCGCAGAACGAACTAATCCGCGACCAGCAAGTTTTCCGAAAGCGAACTGAATGGAATTGTCACTTTCAAAAAATCTCGTGACCCCTAAGTCCTCTCTCGCAGCTTCCCTAATGCAATTCGCGATCGTGGTCCACATACTTTTTTCCGTTCCCCTAATCCTAAGGCCCTTACAACCAGCAACCTCTCCCCCAACTCATGAGCTTTGTCCTTAGCCAAGTTACCCCACTTGATCCTACACCGCCCTCTTTCTCCCACTACTCTTGATCTCCAGGTCCACTACTAGGAGCCTATGCTGGGTCGTGAGGTTCTCACTTGGGATGACCTTGAAATTAGTGCATAAACCTTTATCACATTTCCTGTAAAGGAGGTAATCAATCTGGGTCTTGGCTATCGAACTCTGGAAGGTGACTAGGTGGACTTCTCTCTTTAGAAAACTCGAGTTAGTTATCACCAATTTAAAAGCTCTAGCGAAATCCAACAGTGAGGTGCCTCCGTCGTTCCTATCTCCAAAATCGAACCATACATGCACATCGTCATAATCCCTATCATTAGCCCCAATATGACCATTGAAATCCCCACTAATGAAAGGCTTATCGGTGTGCAGGATACTACGCACCATCTTGTCCAAATCCTCCCCGAAATGCCTGTTGACCTCCTGGTCAAAGCCTACTTGAGGAGCGTATGCACTAATCACGTTTACAATGAACCCTCCAACTACAAGTTTAATACTCATCAACCTATCATTAACCCACATAACCTCGACCACAAGCTCCCTAAGGTCCCTATTAACTAAAATACCTACCACGTTCTTACCCCCAGCTCCTCCTTAGTACCAACTTTTAAACCTATACACATTCCGAGCCTTCGTACCCACCTATCTAGTCTTTTAGATGCATGCTACATTGATCTTCCTCTTCTGAAGAATTTTACCTAACTCTGTAGACTTCTCTGTCAACATTGATATGTTCCAGGACCCAACTCTCAGCCTAGATGCTCCCTTATACCCCTTTCTACCCTTGCTCCTCGCCGCCCACCCCATCCAAGGACATGAACGTACTCTCTCATTGTTCACTACATCTACTATAGTCTAAGGGGTATTGAAATGACCCAGCCTATTGTGTTGTGTAATTGAGACTGTTTACCCTTTTGAAGCTTCCCTTATGTTTATTTGTGGCTTTATGACTTGCAAGGATGGTTGGTTTTGTTTCGGGTTGGTTTTGGATTGATTTGGAAAAATTAGTTCTTAGTTTCGAAGCTTAAGTTGGAAATGCAGACCGATGTTTGACTTTTAAGAAAAAACCTTAGAAGTGGATTGTAATAGGCTTGTAGGGTGATTTTGGACTTAGACGTATGCTCGGAATTGGATTCGGAGGTTCCTAGGTTAAATTGGTTCTTTTTGTCGAAAGTTGGCAATTTGAAGGTTTAGAAATTTCCTAAGTTTGATTTCCTTTATGGCTATTAGGTTAAGTTCATATTTCGGGACTTGGAATAGGTCAGTTTGGTCATTTGGAACTTGTGTGCAAAGTTTGGTGTCATTCCGAGTTGGTTTGGTAGGAATCAAACGTTTCTTTTTTTGTGATTTTAACTATTCATGAGTTTCATTGTAAATCCCATGCGTTCTCGTATCTGATTCATGGTTCCGATTGTTATTTTGGTATTTTGTCACGCCCCAAAACCGAGGGGCTCGACCGGCGCTCGACCGGGTAGCCCCAGTCAAGCGAACCAGGGTGCCTTTCCTATCCCACATGTTACCCCGTGATTTCAATACTCATTATTCAAGTGAAACATGCATTTATGATTAAACACATTCTTACGATTCATAGTAACATACATGCTCACTTTACGTGATCTACAAGTTATACTGCCCAAAATACATAAGTACATAACCCACGTTTTCCTGTCTACGGAGCCTCTAAGGATACAAAAGAGTGTTACAATACTTGCCGGTAACAAGGTTCCGGCTATAGCTTACACAAATACCAAAATAAGACTCCGGGAGGAAAAGCGGCATGAGCCACGCAGGGCCCCGAGAGGAAAGGGGCTCACCAATACAGCTGACGGAAAGTGGAGGAGGTGCTACTGTTGGTGGACTGGAGTACCTGCTATAGAACCACCTACAATCATAACAAGAATGTAGCGCCCCCGGCAAAAGGGACGTCAGTACATTTGAATTGTACTGGTATGTATGAACAAATTTTATCCCAAGTACAATCAAACAATACACAGTTAAGAGACAGTAATAAAACCAACAAGCATTGCACGTAGGAAGAAACAACCAAAATTAAAAGTTTCACAATCTCTCCTTTTCCCTTTCCAACATTTCCATATTCAAGAGTTTCATATATTTTCATTTCAATAGTGATTATAGTCACTCTTCTACCCTTATTACCTCGGCCACCCTTATTACCTCGGCCACCCTTATCACCACAACCCACACCTTATTACTTTGTGTTGCAGCGCGCAACCCGCCCCCGCCTGACAATCACATTTTGTAATCACAACCACAAACAACACATCACAAGAATCATCATTTCAAGGAAACACAAGTTCATATCAACAATTCATACATTTGGGCCCAAGGCACCGTAACTGTCACCAAGCAGTAATTCATGTACAAGGTGTTGTCGTAATCGTTTAACTTATTTACGTCATTTCACAATACCCTCTTTCATTACTTACCACGCAGGGTTTTTAGCCATTATACACATTCCCACATTTGGACACATTAACATTCTTTCATTCGTTAACACATACTTCCACGTCGGTATCCTCAAGCATTTACAAATTTTGCACATAATAAGGTAGGCACATCAAATCACTTCTCACAATCACATATATCATGGTGGTGTGGAAATCAACTAAGACAATCAATACACATATTTTCATACAAGGTACACATACCGTATGCTCGTCACAACAAGGGGATTCTACAAGAGTTAAAGTTAGCCATACATACCTCAAATTCGCCCCTTAATGATACTACAATGATCCAATACACTTAAGCAACTTCAATATACAATACAACAATCAATAGGCCAATATTAGTAACAAATTCCATAACTTAAGCCATTTAGGCATATTATCAAACGCCTTGTAGGTATAAATCTCTTCATCTTATAACCATAGTATTAGTTCATCCAACTATCACCATTAACCAACAATTTATTCCACCATCATTCCTAACCAATTTATAACTTCCAACAACATATGTGTAACCATCCATTCACACCCAACCAATAAATCATATCAAATAATCACCCTTTCAATCTCTACAATAATTATGTATTATATTGGGAACTTATGGCTTCCCATCACTACACCAAGAGTTCCAACACTTAATTCATACTCATATTCCCATTATATATCCATATATGTAAGTCTAAGGGTAAAAGATTACCTCTTGTAGGCCAAATCTTGAAATACAACTTTTGGGATGTTCTTAAGATTTTGAAAAAATCCAATCAAAACCTTGTTTTAACTAGTGATTGAGAGGTGAAATCACCATGAAAACACACTTAAAAACTCACCTTAGGTGTGTGATTGGATACCTTGGTCGGATTGGGGATGGAGAGGATGCCCTAGGCTTGAGAAATGACTTAAATCCTCTCATTTCCCGTCCTTAGGTGTATTTAGAGGTCTGCTACTAGAGCGCCCGCGCTAAGGCCGCGCTAAGGAGGCAGAATACTTCCCAATATGCGCGGCCGCGCTAAGGACGCGCTTCGACACCTGCCCAGTAAAATGGTCGTAACTTTCTGTATACACCTCCAAATGAAGAACGGTTTGGTGCGTTGGAAACTAGACTCAAAGAGATTTAATTTAATAGGTTGTGCATCCCACAACTCCTTATATACACGTATATATGCTCGTCCAAAGTGAGGTCTTGTGCGTATTCATTTGAAATCTTAGCCTATTATGAAATTTTCCAACTTGGCTTAGACTTAGGCTTCCCTTTGGACCTCACATCACTTATTAAATGACTCATACACTTATTCACCACATCCAATTCATTTGCATCATATTTAAAGCACATAAAATATTACAATTAGTCTACCTGCACCCCGAAATCCTATATCGCCTAGCAAAATTTTCCGGGGCCTTACATTCTCCCCCGCTTAGGATCATTCATCCTCGAATGAGAGGTAGAGCCTGACCTAAACACCCAACGTAACATATTTCTTTTCTATCCTACCTCAAGTCCCTAAATTTTGACTAACTCCTAAATTTTTCAGAAATTTCGCCAGAGTTTCCTTTGTAATTAGGCCTATCTACCTGTTAGAGAGCCCCCGGAACATATTTCCAAGTACCATTACACAGTTTCTGTTATCCCTACAACTGGTATACAATTCATTACCTCAACAACTTGTACATATTCATACACTTTAAACAACTTACACGTAGTTCATTCTCTTTACACCACAAATTGCACACGGTTCAACCAATGTCATTTACTTGCACACAACTGGGTCACTTCAATGAGCCCCATACAATTCAATCACTTTAACATGCCTAAAATGCTTCAATTAATCATTACCAATCTACACTATCATTAATCATTTACCTACCACATAAGTTTCTCAAAATTTTCATTTACTTCAAGGGTTGCACATTACCCAAATAGCAACAACATTTGCAATTTGGCACACATAGGGAAGTTACAATAATAAGGCAATTTGGAAAAAAAATGGGGTGCCTTTGCACAAATCTGAACACTACCTCAAATTGCTCAAAGACAACCGTTCGCACGATCACTACTAGACTTGTTCAAACAGATGGGGATATTTTTCTTTCATTTCATTTTCCGCTTCCCACGTGGATTCCTCGACTCGTTGACTTCGCCATAATACTTTAACTGAAGCGACTTCCTTGTTTCTCAATTTATGGACTTGCCTATCAAGAATAGCAACCGGAATTTCTTTATACGATAACTCTTCATTGACCTCGATAGTCTCAATTGGCACGATGGTGGATGGATCCCCAACCACTTTCTTTAACATAGACACATGGAACACCGGGTGCACTAATGGCATCTCAAGGGGCAATTCCAGCCTATAAGCCACCTGTCCTATCCTTTGAGTGATCCGATATGGCCCGACATACCTTGGGCTCAATTTCCCTTTCTTCCCAAATCGCATGACTCCCTTCATGGGAGATACTTTCAAGAACACCCAATCATCTACTTGGAATTCTAATTCTCTTCGACGCACGTCTGCATAGGATTTCTGACGACTCTGAGAAGTTTTCATCCTCTCCTGGATGACTTTAACTTTTTCCATAGGCTGATGCACAAGATCTGGCCCTAACAGTTCTGGTTCACCCACTTCGAACCATCCATTCGGAGACCTACACCTCCTTCCGTACAGTGCCTCAAATGGGGCCATTTGAATGCTAGCATGAAAGCTGTTATAGTAAGCAAATTCTATAAGTGGCAAGTGATCATCCCAATTACCTTTGAAATCCAAGACACAAGCCCGCAACATATTTTCAAGCATCTGAATAGTCCGCTCCGCTTGACCATCAGTCTGCGGATGGAAAGTCGTGCTGAGATTCACTTGAGTACCCAAACCTTGCTGAAACTTCTTCCAAAAATTAGTTGTGAACTGGGCCCCTCGATCTGAGATAATAGAAATTGGAGTGCCGACTACTTCCTTGATGTACAACTGAGCATAATGTTCTGCAGTATTGGTGGACTTGACTGGCAAAAAGTGAGCTGATTTCGTGAGTCGATCCACAATTACCCAAATCGAGTCGAACTTGCGCTGAGTGCGGGGTAAACCTACCAAAAAATCCATGTTGATCATCTCCCACTTCCACATTGGTATCTCCATAAGCTGAGTTAACCCACCGGGCCGCTGATGCTCAGCTTTTACTTGCTGACAATTCGGACATTTAGATACAAAGTCCGCTACACCCTTCTTCATACCGTTCCACCAATAAATTTCCTTGAGATCATGATACATTTTCGTAGAACCTGGGTGCACAGAATACATGGAATTGTAAGCCTCCGCCATTACCCTCTCCCGAAGATTACCCACATCTGGAACGCATAGCCTACCTTGACATTGCAACATACCATCCTCGCCGCCGAGTGAAAATGCCGAAGTCTTGTTATTCAAAACTGCCTCCTTCATCTGTGCCAATGCTGGATCAATAAACTGCTTTTCCTTGACTTCCGCTACAAGTGACGATTCTGCTCCATTGTGCACCATAACATTCTCCTCGTCTGAGGTCGAAATACAAACCCCCAGACTGGCCAATTGATAAACCTCCCGAGCCAAGGGCCTCTGATCCGCTCCTAAATGAGCCAAACTACCCATAGACTTCCGACTGAGAGCGTCGGCCACCAGATTCGCCTTCCCTGGATGGTACAAAATGTCCATATCATAATCCTTGAGCAATTCTAACCACCGTCGCTGCCTTAAATTCAACTCCTTCTGCTTGAACAAATATTGGAGACTCTTGTGGTCCGAGAACACATCCACATGGATCACATAAAGATAATGCCGCTATATTTTCAAAGCAAACACAACTACCGCGAGCTCCAAATCATGCGTCGGTGATTCTTAAGTTGCCTTGAAGCATACGCTATAACCTTCCCATGCTGCATCAACACACACCCCAAACCAACCCTGGAGGCATCGCAATAAACCACAAATCCTTCAGTGCCTTCCGGCAAGGTCAATATCGGCGCCGAGGTCAACCTCGACTTCAATTCCTGAAAACTTTTCTCACAAGCGTCGGACCATTGGAATTTAACCGCTTTCTGCGTCGACTTAGTCAATGGGGAGGCGAGGGTAGAGAATCCCTCCACAAACCTCCGATAATACCCTGCTAAACCCAAGAAGCTACGGATCTCCGTCGGGGTCGTGGGTCTAGGCCAATCTTTCACTGCTGAAATCTTTTGGGGATCCACCTGAATCCCTTCACTGGAAACAACATGTCCCAGAAAGGTAACGAACTCCAACCAAAATTCACATTTCAAAAATTTTGCGTACAACTGGTGCTGATGAAGAGTCTGTAGAACTGCCCTGAGGTGATCGGCATGATCCTCCCAGCTCCGCGAATAAACAAGGATGTCATCAATGAAAACAATCACGAAGGAGTCTAGAAATGGCTTGAAGACCCGATTCATAAGATCCATGAAAGCTGCCGGGGCGTTGGTTAGCCCAAAAGACATGACCAAGAATTCAAAGTGACCATAGCGAGTTTTGAAAGCGGTCTTAGGAATATCCTGCTCTCTGATCTTCATAGGTGGTACCCGGACCGTAGATCAATTTTGGAGAAGAACCTTGCACCTTGCAATTGGTCGAACAAATCATCTATCCGCGACAAAGGATATTTATTCTTGATGGTGACCTTGTTGAGTTGCCGGTAATCAATACACATCCGGAGCGACCCATCCTTCTTCCTGACAAAAAGAGCCGGAGCACCCCACGGCGACACACTCGGCCGAATGAACCCCTTTTCCCCCGACCTAATTCATGATAAGCCCACCAACTTCCTGGCAAAATGCCTACGGTTAAAAACCACCGACATGTCAAGATCCAAATTTGAATTGGTTAATAAATCCTTCAGCTGCTCCTTCAACTCCCTTAACTCTGCTGGAGCCATTCTGTATGGTGGAATAGATATTGGCTGCGTATCTGGCAATACATCAATCCCGAAATAAATCTCCCTATCTGGCGGAATCCCTGGAAGCTCATCCGGAAACACTTCGAGAAACTCATTCACGACTGGCACGGACTCGGGGATAGACACTTCTGAAGTGGTGTCCGCCACCCGGACCAAATGATAGATACACTCCTTCTTAATCATTTTTGAAGCCTTAAGGTAAGAAATAAACCTACCCTTCGGCACCACACCATTCCTTTTCCACTCAATAACCGCTTCATTAGGGAACTCGTGCCTCACGACTCTTGTCCGGCAGTCAAGTTTAGAGAAGCACGAATAAAGCCAGTCCATTCCCATAATCACATCAAAATCCACCATTCCAAGCTCGATAAGATCGGTCGTGGTAACACGACCACATACCGTTACAACACAATTCCTATAAACTCGCGCGACTGTAATAGAATCACCAACCGGAGTCGATACGGAGAACGACTCATGAAGCTGTTCGGGTTCTATCCCAAAACATGAAGCAATGAATGGGGTGACATAAGACAAAGAGGACCCCGGATCAATAAGAGCATAACAATCAATGGCCTAAACAGACAAGATACTTGTAACAACATCTGGAGAAGCCTCTGCACTCTGGCGACTACTCAAAGCGTAAAATCGGCTGGGTCCACCTCTACCACGAGCTCCACCCCTAACTGCACCATGCCCTGCTGGGGCTGGAGGATGCACGGATGATGTGGCAGTTGAAGAACCGGAGGACTGAGCAAATCCCCTACCCATGCCCTGACTGGGCGCAAGACAGTCCCACTGGATATGACCTCTCACCCCGCATCTATAACACACCGGGATATCCAAATAACAAGTCTCGGAATGGAACCTCCCACACTTGGGGCATGGAGCCCTCCCCTGCTGCTGTGATCGCCCTCCTGGACGACCGGACTGATGAGGTCTCCTACTGTCTGAACCTGGTCTCAAGTGACTACGCTGCTGATGACGGGGCACTGATGGTGATGCACTAGATGAGGACTGTGCATATGAATGGGATGGCCCTGCTGGCCCTCTCCCTTGAACTGGTCTCCCCCCTGCAACTAAGCTCCCCGAGTGGCCCGCTGACCAGGCCCTGCTATTACTCTCCCTCTCTTCCCTTATTTTCAACTTTCTAGCCTCCGTAGCCTGGGCGAATCCCACTATCTTACCATAATTCATATCAGAGTGCAAGGCCGCTGTAGTAGCTTCATTCACAACCAAGGGACTAAGGCCCTGAACAAACCGTCGAACCCTGGCATCCATAGTTGACACCAACTGAGGAGCATACTTGGACAATCTCACGAACTCCATGTGGTACTCCCAAACACTCATATTGCCCTGCTTGAGGACCTCAAACTCTATGGCACGAGCTGCCATAGTCTCGGCAGGCAAGAAATGATCCATAAAAGCATCCACGAACTCGACCCATCTTGCCGTAGAACTTCCCTCCCCCGGGAATCCTCCCACATCTCGAACCAGGAATATGCTGCTCCCCTCAGCCTGTAAGAAGCTAACTCACCCCCCTCTGTCTCTGTAGCCTTCATCACCCGAAGAGTCTTGTACATCTCATTTAGAAAATCCTGCGGGTCGGCCTCTGGATCAGTACCGGAGAACTCTGGAGGGGCCAACCGCAGAAACTGGTTGATTCTAGAATCGGAGGAATCTCCCTATCCGCTAGAGGGCACAGGGGTGGCATGAGATCTGTCACACCTCCTTTTTACCTACACCCCGTGAAGGGATATGATAATAAGGGAGTTATTTCCAACTTGAAGTGACAATTGAAACGGGATTTATTTTAAAGATTCAGAGTCGCCACTTGGGAAATTAATGGTGTCCCAAGTCACCGGTTGAATCCCGATCCGAGGAAATTATGACTCTGTTAACAGTCCGCGAATCAGAACTCCGAGTAAGGAATTCTGTTAATCCGGGAGAAGGTGTTAGGCATTCCCAGATTCCGTGGTTCTAGCACGGTCGCTCAACTGTTGTTTTTGCTTTTATCTGATTTTCTAAACATATTCTAACCTATGTGCCTTTTATTTTAACCGCTTTTATTTTATGTCTTTTTAATAGGAATTGCAACGTCGTGAAAATGTGTCTCGAACCCCGTCACACCAGTGCGCCCGTGGCTTTTGACGCATTCCGACTTCGTTGAGATTTAGATTTAGGTCACATAAATGTGCACCCGCATTAAGGAAGGTAATATTATTAAAATGCGCGCCTAAAGCAACTACACTTTTATTATCTTTGGGGAAAACCGTGAAATTCGCTAAACGGTTCACCCGAATTCTAAGTATTTTATAACATTTATTGAGGGCCCCGTAGTTTATTCATCTGGTTTAACGAGGCTCGTCTCATCATTTTTTATTTAAGGGCTAATCCTAAATTAACTATGATTTTTATTGAATTTGTCTCAAAAGAAAACAACTGGTTAATTCACATTTATAAATCTGGGCCTCAAATTCAAATGCAATTTCAAAAAAAAGGGAAAGACCCTTTCAGCTCGAACTTGTTACCTAATTCAAAGCCCAATTTTATATTTATGAATCAACTTCCATATTCCTAATATAATTTTTAAAGGTTTTAGGCCTGGGCCCAAGAGCAACAATAGAAGCCCTGCGCTGGGCCAGCTCTCAAGGTAACCCAGCAGTATTTGTATGCTTCATGGGCCAAACTTTTAAGGCCCAGTATTTCAATCCAGCAGCATTTGTATGCTGCGTAGGCCTGACCATTTCTGCTGGGTCATCGTTTGAGCCCAGTATTTCAATCCAGCCACCGTGAACCCAAAGCCCCATTGATTATCAAAGAAATGAAGAGGGAGGGCTTGATATCAATTTTACTCAAAAAATGTGATATCAATTGATAAAGATTAACTTACAAAATCCTCTTACTCCTGTTAACACTTAAGTCCAGCAATTAACCTTGCAATAATGTAACGTCTAACACTTAAGAGTACTTTAAGACCAACACACGTTGTTTTATAGCAGCTTTAACAGGTTAGTATATTCCAATATCGTTAACTGCTTTTGACTCCTATTTTTAAAGTAATATGGCAACACGGAAAGCAGCACCAATTTACATCGAACCCAACACCACTAGATATGAATTTCAGGCTATTCACGATTAAACTCAAACTAATTCACAGTCCTTTACAAAAGGAGTCTAATAATCCTACCTAGCACAGTCTTAGAATCAACAATCCAGAGGCTTACAGTTCAATTGAAACGAATCCAAACAGTCCTAGTTAACATAAATCAGTAATGAACCTACAGCTACATGTTGAACTAATAATGAAAGCAAAACAGAGTCGTATGGTAGAGGAACTTCATCATTTGGATTTTCAAGTGTCAAGTACATTGAGTGATACTTCATGCTATTAGGGATAACAAGGGTACCTGGAATTGGAGCAAAGCAGAAGAAAGGAGTCAGCGGCAGAAATGAGAAGCAACAGTAATGCAAAATCAAACTCGAAGCCCAGGAGTGTTTTGAAAATCAAACGGGGTAGACCAAATAATCCCAGTAATACCGAAATACTTTAGACACCCAATTAGCTATCTCAAATCCACTTGAATTGAACCATAACAATCTCAACGAACCAGAAATTATCCAAAGTCAAACAATCCAACTTGAAAACTGCTCTAGAATCAAACTAATGGACCTCTGAAACTCGAAACTAGAAGAATAGATCTCAGCAATCAGAATTCAAACTAACTCGAATTACCTGGTGGAATAGTAATGTATTTTTTTGGATTTTTCATCGATTATCTACTGTTTTTGGATTTTGCAAGCTTAAATTTTAAAATCAGGCCTGAAATTCAAGAGGGAGCTTTTGAGGGAACTTTTGGAGGCTCCAAACTTGTGAATCAAGGCAAATGAATGCCTATTTATAGGTGAACTTAGGGTCCAATTTCAGATTTTCCCTTTACCCATTAGTCCCTATTTTAATTCTATTTTTATCCTTTATTTTCTGACTTGTCACACAAGTAACTACCCTAAGTTTACTGAAATCTGCACTATAGTCCATCCTAGAAGGTTCTATNGGAAACAGTAGCAACAGCAAGACAACAACTTCAGCAAATCAGTCCTTAAAACACACTTGAATCCCAGCAGAATCCAAACCAGTTTTAGAAATTCGACTTCAACTCATCTCAAACGCAAAATAGAGCAGAAAATGACTCAGTGAATGAAAACTTTGAGATGCAGCTTCAATAGAACAGTATTTTGTTTTCCAGAAAGTCTTTTGCCGTCTCTATTTTTCTGTATTTTTTTTTTTAGGCTCCTCCCTTCAGCTGCTAGTAACCATGCCTTTATAGGCAAGTTACTAGGGCAGCCTTAAGGGCTTGGTTATTTCACTTTAGTCCTTTTCAGCTTTCCCTTTTGCTATTTAGTCCTTAATTTTCTGACTTGTTACCCAAGTTAATGCATTCTGCAGCTTCTAGGAAGCTTCTTGGGTGGTTACTTGAGAGATTCTCTCAGTAACTTACCCAATTTACCCCTACATTGCCCTGTTTTTACATTACACTCGGTGGGCTATGGGTCAGATTGACCGTGAGTTGGAAACCTTTAGGCAACCAAGCCCAAACTGGATCTAAAGCAAACAACCCAAGCCCAAAACACACTCAAACTCAAATTCTGAATGAAACAAACAGGAAGCAGAGAGCATTCAAGCAACTATATCTTCTTTTCCCCTTTTTATTATTCAATTACTGAACTAAACATTACTGCATATCGAAATTGACTAATAAGGAAACTAATTAGTTAAAAACTTCCTAAAGCTAATCATGTACATACAAAAGACAACTTGAGAATACTAGGAAAGCAAAGAAATCAGAAGAAGAGGGGAGAGACAGACGACAATAAATGAAAGGAAAAAAAATAAAGAAAACTTAACGAAAGAGAAGAGAAGTACCCAAAGTGGCTCGGAAAGGACTGGATTACTTGAAAAATTCCTTCGATTCCTTGACAAGAATAACCTTAAGTTGCATGTTTTCATGTGAAAACACACAATCAAAGGACATTATAGCTTAGAAACTTCAGAAAGCCCGTTGGTTTTGAATTTGGAAATTAGGGCTTTTCTTTGATTCAAGATTCGGGCCGTTTGAAAGGGATTCGAGGTAAACCAGGTGGGGATTTGGGATGAGGGAGAGAAGGGGGTCAGAGGTGTGATTTTGGGGTGATTTGGGAAAGGTTTGGGTTTTTGGTCTAGTCTTTGATTGAAGATTCGATGAGTTTCCCAGTGATTCGAGGAAAACCAACGACGGATTCGACATGAGGGGAGGAGGAGGGTGTTATGGTGTGAATCTGGTGTGGATTGGAGGTGCGCCGCCACTAATGGCAGTGGGAATTCACGGCGGCTTCTAGGGTTTCTTTGAAGGTTAGTCTCTGTGAAAGAGACGATGAGGGGGTAGGGGGGGGGGAGGTTCGGACACCTTTATACACTTAAACATCGTTAGTTCCGGACCGTTGGATTGATGAGATCCAACGGTCCTAATTCAAAGACCATGAAACGACGTCGTTTCAATTAGAAGGGGGCTGGACCGGGTATTGGGATGGGTCTTGGGCTCAACAGGCGGATCTGAGGGGATTTTGATTTGGGCCAGGCCAATTTTGGCCCAGTTTTGGTCTTCTTATCAAACCCCACTTTCTTTTATTTTAATTGTACCCCCCTTTTTCAATTTTGTTTTGCTTTTCATTTTTGTATTTTATATTTTTTCTGATTTTATAAAAATGCTAAAACAAAACAAAGACCTAATTAAACTATTTAACTCCTAAAACTACTTAAAACTTTATTTAAAGATAAGTGCAACAATTAACAATTAAAAGTGCAAAGAAACTATTTTTTGCAATGTTCTTTAAATTTTGTTCTAAAACTAATTAATACCTAATTAATACTAAAATTGTGAAATTAAATCCTAAATACAAAAATGCATATTTTTGTATTTTCATATGAATTAATATGCACGAATAAAAATGCACCAATTATCAAAAAATGCCACCAAATTCATGAAAAATTACAAAATACTAAAGAAATTGTTTTTGTTTGAAATTTTGGGTTCATTGCTTAGGGCAAAAATCCCGTGCTCACAGCTGCCCCTCTTTGCTCGGAAACACAAAGAGTTTTCGTGCAAAGACAACTGAGCGGAAATGAGCGATTTTTGCCCGTTTGCTTATTCCGTGTGAAGCATTTTTGAAAGAGCTGACCGCACCCTGCTTCAAAGTTGCCTACATATCCTGGGCTAAACAGGAATCAGGTCAGTGTAGTTCGG